TCACATGGGTGGCGCTTGGGAGTGCATGATTGGAGTCACACAACAAATCCTAGATTCCATGCTCCTCCAAGTTGGACCTCAAAAACTCACTCATGAAGTCCTCATCACCTTCATGGCAGAGGTCAGTGCCATTGTGAATGCGAGGCCGTTAATCCATGCATCCACAGACCCAGAAGCTCTCCTCACTCCCCTCCATGCTGTTGACACAGAAAATGGGTGCACCTCTTTCTCCAGCCATTGAGTTCTCAAAAGGAGATTTGCTCAAGAACCAGTGGAAGAGAGTTCAAGCTTTGGCAGAAACCTTCTGGGTTAGGTGGCGGCAAGAATATTTGAGCACACTTCAGAGTCGGCAGAAGTGGCAGTCACAAAAACCCAATCTCAGAGAAGGAGATATAGTACTGATGAAGGACAGTCAGGCAAAAAGAAATCAGTGGCCAATGGGAATTATTGTGAAGGCCATTCCCAGTAAAGATGGACTGTAAGGAAGGTGGAAGTCAAAGTGACAAGAAATCAGACAGTCAAGATATTCTCCAGACCCATTTCTGAGGTGGTCCTGCTTTTCTCCCAAGAGGACCAAGAAACCCTAAAAGGCTCTTCTGTAACTCACCAGCCTCTTCAGCATGGACTCAATAACAGAGTAGCTGAGTGAGGTAGTAACATAACCATGACATTCCCACAGTCCACAGCTTGTAACTCAGCTATTTCCCTGTGCAGACTTTGAGGAATGCGGGTCAATCTGTGTAGTGGCATATTTCTTAATATGCCAGGTGGGGAGTGTATTGGATTCAGCATAGTGTTTTTGTATGCTCTTTAGTGGCACCTAGTGGTGATTGCATTTAGCTGCACAGAAGAAAAACAGGATGTACTCAGGAGCACATTTTCCTTCATGGACTCAGAGTGAGCATCTCAGTATTGCAATCCTCTTAATCCTTTGCCTTGAAATCCACAAAAAGGCTTCATCTGTAAGTCTCACACTGTTTACAGTTATATTAATGTGTTTATGTTAATATTTCTTGGGTTGAGTACAAAATTTATGATAATGGTTAGTTTACTGTCGGCTACATGTAGATGTGTTAGTGATTGGTGGTTAAATCATTGGTGTTTGTTTAAATGATACTGATGTATTTTCATCTTTCATTACTTACACCAAAATACCTACTTTTAAGCAAATTGTTTTTTCAGTAATCGTGTCTATACAAATGTACAAGAGATATTATTGAGTACTTACACAGGTACTTATCAGTTTGTATTTTGTGTTCTTTTTGCAGTTTTACAAATTACATATTTTCCTACATTAAATCCTGCCAAACACAAAAAACTTGTCTGTTCCTTGGAGGATGCATGGCTGGAGAATATAATGTTAAGCTAGCTGTATAGCTGAAAATAGGTTGTCTGCAACAACTTTTAGTGAGGACAGCATAGCCTCATTCCATCTTCTGTAAACAGAACAAAAATATGCTTTGCCAGAATGATTTATTTTGATCTCATCTGTCCACAGGTCACTCTCCAAGAAGGAATCTGGCTTCCTAAGATATGTTTTTTTCACAAATTCCAATCTGGTTTTTTTATACCTCTGTGTCAGGAGTGGGGTCGTCCTGGGCCTCCTACTATAGAGTCCCCTTTTATTCAGATAATGACGGATAGTGCAAGCTGAAGCTGCCGTACCTTGTTTCTGCAGCTCAACTTGTATTTGTTTGGTGGGTTTTTTGTGCATCATTTGAACAATCCTTCACTGCAATCTTTCATCAACTTTTCTCTGTCCATGTCCAGAATAGTTAGTTACAATGCCGTGGACTGCAAACGTCTTGATGCGTTTACAGTGGATACAGGAAAATTAAGATCTCGGGAGATGGACTTATAAGCCTGTGTTTTCTACAAATTTATTTCTCAAATCCTCAGACAATTCTTTCGTCCTTTGTTTCTCAGTGCTCAGTACGGTACACACAGACACACAACCTTAAACTAGTTAAAACTATGTCCAAGCTCCCATGAGCAAGTCAAATGCGACAATAGCTGGCTTATTGCTAATTAATGTAGATTAATGTAGACATGTATTGCATGTACCACTATGTATTGGCTGCATTCTAGGAATTTGCTGTATGTTGTGGGAAGACAAATTAGCAGATAAATTTGATAAAGCTGACTGTTGCATTTGAGGCTGAACATTCTAACACTGTGCTCGAATCCCTCCAGTGGGACTGTACTAAACCAGGGACGATTCATGTGAAATGTGTGAAAAGTGGTCTCTATTGGAAACCATTAAGCCAATTCCCCTTAGAAAGCAAAACCACTGGGTTTTAATCCGTATGGTTTCTAAGGTGCTTTTTAAGCAGTGAGGATTTTACGTATTTCACACTCTACATTGCATAATATCATTAAGATTCAGGGAATCCAGAGAAATCTCTGTGCATAAAAGGCAAGGCCGAAAATTACAGCTAAATGCTTGTGACCTTTGATCCCTTAAATAAAAAACGTTAGTAAAAAAAACATTCTTACAGTAAACACTTACAGTTAACACTGATCATCGTTGCTCGCACAAATGGAAGTTAAGGGTGCACTAGTCACAGTGGAAGCCATATGTTTAAAAACACCCAGAAACACCACCAACTTCTCTGGGCTTATCTGAAATAGACTGATGCACAGTGTAAACATGAATTGTGGCCTGATGAGTCAACCTTTCAGATGCAATATGTTATGGAAATAAGGGCTGTTATGTTCTCAGGGCAAAGAAGAAAAGGACCATGCAGATTGCTGGTTCGAAAGCCAAGGTCTATCATGGTATGGGGGGGGTGCAAGGTAACCAATGGCATTGTTTATTAACTTGCACATTAGGAAAGGCACTTTAACTCAAACATTAATAAACATTTTGGAGGAATATATGCTGCCTTCTAGACAACATCTTTTTCAGGGGTGTCCATACTTTTTGCAGCATGACAATGCCAAGACACATTCTGCACATTTTGCATCAGTGTAATCAGAGAGTGCAGTATAGGGCCTCCCTGCAATCCAGACCTGCCTCCCATTGAAAATGTGAGGTGCATTATGAGCACAAAATATGACAACAGAAGTCCTGTATGTTTGCACAGCTGAATCACTGCTTTCTGTTTTTGCTAGCATTTCATATACTGTCTCAACTTTTTTAGAATGAAGGTTTGTATATCAGGCTTGGATTGGACAGACTATTTGTTAAAATGATGGTTGTGGAAAAAGTGTAACATGGCTTAATGTTTTAAAACTAAACTAGGACCATCAAGCCTCTCTCACTCGCTACTGGTGACAAATACTCTCTACTGCTGAAAGGATGAAGCTGTGCTCTAAGAAGAAAGTAATAATTTTTACATTGAGCTTTTTTCTTCCCATTTAAACCCATTATAAGAAAAAAGCTCAATGTGGCTTAATGTACTAAAACAAAACCACCAAATTTCATGCAACTCATGGAACTGATGTTATAGAATTTGGGTGCTCAATCCTAGTAATTAAGGCTTTCAGGGATTTCTGAGAATAAGAGCCAGGTAGACGTCTAAGTCAGCAGATTTGCAGAACCAGGATTGGGCACTCCACCTGTTATAGAAGGCTGGCTTCATTTCTTACAGCCGAAGTACTACATGACTCTGTATTTATATAAGGGGTGCCCAACTTCAGCCCTGAAGGGCCAGTGTTCCGCAGTTTTTTAGCTTCCCCATTTCTAGCTGAATAATGTAGGCTTGGCTTAACACAACAATAGGAGACAAAGATGAAATGTGATTGAGACCTGTGGTGTTACAGATTCAGGCCATATGGATCAGTAATGTGCCTTTTAAAATAATATGTGCATGTTCTACTTACCTCTGGAATGTACTGCCAGAAGTATGAGCCCTGAGAAGCTGCGTCTAGCTCTGCTTGGGTGAACTTGCCTATTTTCCAATTCATTTCATTCCCTGCCACCATGTCACTGCATAAATATTGAATTGCATAAATTTGTCCTGTGCACAAGTTCCCTGAAATTGTCTGATGGGTTTTCATGTGTTACATTTATGTGATTAAGAGACAGAGATGTGCTAGTTAAGTTTGATTTGGCTGTGAGTTATGAGGACATTGCAGCTTCCATTCCCAGCGGTGCTTCACAATTAGGAAACGGCCCACATTCATCAGTGCAGCTGCAGTTTGATGGTGAAATGAAGGAAGACGATAAACTAAAACCACAACCTTCACTAACTGCACTTTCTAATCATTATATTTAAAAGAGAGATGAAGACAGTGTTTTCTAGCTACAGGCAAAAGCTGCCCAGAACTACAGCCCAAATTCTCAGAGTTCTCCCCGTCCCTCAATTAGTCTTTCCTCAACCACTATGTTGAAGACATGGTCTGAACTCACAGATTACTTTTTATTTTTACCCCCGTTCTCCGGGGATCCGTTGTAGTGACATATACTTAGACTTAAAATGTAAACTTTTAACAGATAATAGCGCCCAACAAACTATGTCCCAAATCTAGTAAATATTGGATTTAGGGCATTCAATACTCGCCAGTTTGTGTCTCCTCACTCTCTTTTTACTTCTGTTCAAGTTTTCTGGTAGTCCTTTATTTTTTAGTATGGTTTGGGGATACTCCCAATGCTGGAGTAGGTAATCGGGTCTGGGAGTGTTGGGGACGGTTAATTACCTCATCTATAAATTCACGCATATAAACACGAAAATGTTCTGACATGATACATATGTCCCACTCAAGTGTTTATATGTACTAATTTAGTTAAACCAAACGGTCACCACCTTGTAATACGTAAAGTTTAGATTCTTATGCAACGCTCCACCTTAAATTAGGTAGCCGTTACCTGCCTGGGCGCTAGCGTGTAACTGCTGCACTGTTTAAGGTGGAACGGAAATTCGAAGTACAACTCTGGCACTGGTTTCTCCTGTAGTTTGTTTCTCTACACACGTTACCCCGCCTAACCGCCAGATGGCGGTACAGCAAACAGCGACAGCATTAAATATTTCCGGTCACACACCGGTTTGTTTTTAGCTTTCTACTTGGGGCAGACACGTGAACAACGTGAAAAATGCCAGTAGATACGAAGCGTGTTCGCGGTCCGGAGGAGTCTCAGTCTCCGCTGTTATTTCTATCTCCTACCACGCAAACGTGTGAAGTCCGCAGCAGGCCGGGCAATCGCGGAAAAGGGGACGTTCGGCCGCTGTTCGCGCGCTGTGGTCTGGTGAGCCAGGCGAAGGGCTCTGCCTACATCGAGGCCGGCAACACAAAGATCATCTGTTCTGTGTACGGGCCACGAGAGACCGAGCGGAAAGACGAAACCGACATGAAAAGCGGTCGCCTTGTGTGCGACGTGAGGCTCGCTCCGTTCTCCTTCTTGAAAAGGGGCGCGTGGATCCAAGGCAGCGAGGAGAAGGACCTGTCCTTGGCGCTGTCAGAGAGCATGCAGCCCGGCGTGTGCCTGCACCGGTACCCGCGCTCCCAGATAGAAGTGAACGTAATGGTGTTGGAGAACGACGGTTCTGTTCTGGCACACGCCGTGACCTGCGCTTCCATGGCGCTGGCGGACGCCGGCATCGAGATGTACGACGTGGTGCTGGGCTGCGCGCTGCGTCAGGATGGAAACTCGTGCCTCCTGGACCCGGACTTCTCTGAGGAAAGAGGGAGCTGGCAGGCGGGCTATGGTGAGAATCAGGGCCGCGTTACCGTCGCACTCCTGCCCAACCTCAATCAAGTATCGGGCCTGCACGCGGACGGGGAGATGCGCGAAGAGACACTAACCGCGGCCGTGAGGACGTGCATGGATGGGTGTCATAAGCTGTATCCAGTGGTGCAGCAGGCCATACTACGGGCTGTTAAGAGAAAAGCGCCACCTCCCGAAAAATAAGACTTGGAGGTCGTGTTGTTGTAGGCTATATTAATTTCCTTTCAGCGAATTTGTTTCTGAATGTTTTTGCAGTATGTTGGAGCTCTGCTCGCAATAAATAGGAAAACCGACGAGTCTTACTGTTGTGTATCTGCTATGCTAGGCTTGTCAAACTGGATACCTCTGGGCCAAAGTGCTGCGGAGATTAGTATTTATCCTCATCAACCGCCCTGAATTCAGTTCAAGAAGGCCTTGCTAACTAACAGATTAGCTGAATCAGGTGTGTTTAATGAGGCAGCGTACTGACGTCTGCAGTTTTCTGGCCCACAAGGACTGGAGCCTGAAACGTGTGTTATGCACTAACGGTCCATCCTCGTCTGCTGTTCTTGTTTGCTTTTATAACAGTGGTTCCTAATCCCAGGCTCTGCTCAAAATGGTCTGCTACAGCGTTTTACCAACTTTGTTCTTGGAGTCCCCTTCTGTGCATATTGTAGTGCTTTCCCTGCTTTAACACATCCCTTCAGCTCACCAAGTTAAAGTAGTTAATTAGTTGGAGCAGGGAACACATTAAAATGTGCAGAGCAGTGGTGTCTTAAAGTAAGCAACTGTGCAGAATAAACAGAATAAACATTTTTGTTCTGTTAACTTGCTGTAAGAAGTCCAGTGAGTTCAGAATTGTATTACAGCACAGTAACTTTAAGTGAGATGCCAACATTTTCTAGTATACTAATTAAGTCAGTATATTAAGAGGCTGTTATTTAACAAGCAGGTTGTAAGTAACTGTTTAATGCAGAACATAAACTGAATGATCACCACTGTTACAACCCTAAGGCAAACTTCAGAATTCAAGTTTAATATTATTTAACAGTTGCACTGCTACTTAGAGATAATTTGTTAGACAGAACTGATCACTCACAAATGAGTTTCTTACAAAAGAACAGCCACTCAGAATACAACAGTTCACATCAAAGTGCTTAAAATCCATGGAACAATTATGATACTTTTCTCAACATTAAAAAATAAAACAGTCTATGGCTTCAGTAAGATTGTCATGTAGCAACCCATGGAGAAATGCAGACATGTATGTACTGAAAAGTTATTTGCATTAGTTTTACTAAAAGAGAAATGGGGAAAAAAAAGACTGATGGAAAAAGATCTGCACTGGTTTTACATTTGAACTGGCCTAAGAAAAACAGTGCATTTGAATTTTCCAGCTACTGGGAATTTTTTATACAAGCCTGTTCCTACTTTCTAGTACGGTTATCAGGGTTGTTGGCATGGATAGTATAGATGCAAGACAGTTTGAGCCTGTTTATACTTAGCCCCTTTGTGTCTCAGGCTGATAGAATACTGATTGTACAGCTGTCCGATCACAAAAAGGCCTAGTGTTAATGCAGTGAAAACATATTGGTAGCATGGTAAATTACGGAGATGGTTTGAGACGCACTGGAGATGCAGCTGAATCAGTGTAAACATCAGTTTCTTTAAGCCACATATATAATCTTAATTCTGTCCAGAAAGAACTACTTCAGTACAGAAATTAAGGTATGGTGTGGTGGAGATAAATTAACCCAAAATCTAACTCACATGAGATCTACTGTTTGACACTGGTTTAGGAAGCTAGTTATTCAGTTAGTACTGTCTCAGTGAAAGGACCAAATATTATACTCTCCTACTAGTGCTGACTCAAAGTTATTTTGCTATAGCAAAATTAATCAATGACAACAAATTAAAAGATGTATTAAAAAAGCTCCTGTGATCTTTTTGACCAGAAGTAATTTCTCCCTTTTGTTCTTCTAAAATGCATAACTGCAAAGAACAAAATGGAAATTATGGCACCTGGCCTCATTTCATAATGTGGGAAAAGCAGTGTGGGTGCAAGTCTATATCAGCAGTGGTATAGAGGACGAATGATCATGCTCACCCTACACTGCAGAATAACGCCTATGACTCTGATGGCTATTTAGGCACATTACAATTTTGTGGTGGAGCTCACAGTGTGGGAAATCAGACATCCTGGTATACTCCAAAAAGTGCTGGTACTCCATCAGTCTTAATTAAATTGCTGGCACATAGTGGTCCAATTCAAGCATGCATGTGTGTGTCTGGCAGACAAGGTCAGACAGGTCTTAGTATGATCTCAGTGATCTCTGCACGGCTCCCGATTCTCATTGGAATGCCATAATAGCCAGTTCCTGGGGTAACGTAGACCATAGTGTGTTCAGAAACACGGTAGAGTCCACAGAAATACGGGTTCACCAGGAATGCCAAGAGAGTGAGGGGGAACAGCTGGCCAGCATGGGTGTGACCTACACACAAGCAAACATATTAAAAATGTCATATGCCAATGAGTATTTTTGCCCTACCATTTAGGTAATACTTGGGTAATGAGGGTTCATACCTAGTTCACCTGCCATACTTGAATATATGTACTGTGACTGCACCAGTAAGATTTATTTACACTTTATGTAGTCATGTCCATATACTGGTCTCAGCCTTGTTGACCTTGTTGAGACCAAGATAAGAACCACCACACCTTGTTTCACTTGAGTCACATATTACTGACTAACTATACATACTAGGCCACACAATGTAAAGATTGTTAGCTGATCCTAGCCCCTTAGAAACAAACAAAAAAAGCCATAGCATATCCTTTAATGAGATGATTCAGGCAGAATGTGTGAAATAAGTTATATTCGGAATATGTACCTGACAGTACTAAGTTGATATCTGGCCTTTGCTGGAGGGCCTTTTTAGCAGCATGAGGCTGATGAGCCAAAAGAACAATGGGATTATCTTTACTGCAACCACTCAGAGCCTTCTCGATGTCCATCCCATGACCAGGATACCTGAAATATCAATACACAGGCCAATAGCAGTGCACATAATAAGCTGCAGAATTGAATATTCAAAAGAGCAACTGAAAAAAGAAAAAGGATGGATAAAGTGGGGGGTTGTGGTAACTGAGTGCTTTAGCCTAACCGTAGCATGCTAGCCTCTAGATCATCAATGCCAGCAAGACAGATCCAATCTTGGCTTTGACCAGGGCGGAACACTTGAGCGTGGCTGTTGTGAAGTGGTTTGATTCCCTTTGAGCTTAAGAACTCAAACCAGCTCTCTACATCAGCAGTGTAGTAGTCATGATTACCTAATGCAGACAGAAACAGAGCATATTAGTTGATATGTTTACATATGTAGCTGTTAATAATGTTACTCCTAATGTTACTTCTGTGCAGCACTCCCGCCTGACCTGTAGCAAAGTAGGAGCCTAGCCGAGCTTGGATGAGCCCCAAAGGTTCTGCAGCAGTCCTCAACCGGCTCACCTGAGAGTCTGTCAAATCACCAACGATCACCACCACATCTAAAGCCAAAACACATACATACAAGAACAATGACAGAATATTATATACACTAAATATTGAAATCAAACATCCAGTGTTGTTATATTACAATTACCTGGTTCCAGCTGATTCACCATGGTAACAATGAGCTGTAGTTTGGACTGCCCAATTGTAGGTCCCAGGTGTATGTCTGACAGCAGAACTATCTTGAGGCCATCCATAGAGGCTGGCAGCTTCTCCACTGGAACTTCCACCTCCACAACCTGCGGTGGCTGTGCAGCATTAAATAATCCATACACAGTCAATAGTGCGGTCACCATCAAGGCTAAAACTGTCTGACCAGTCGCTGACCCATCCTGGCCGTCTGAGCTGGAGGAGCACAGCCGACGGAGGCGACTCACGCAGCTAAATGCCACCAAGAAGAATACAAGGATGATGTAAACGCCTAAACACGTGAAGCTCAGCAGAGCAAGCCAGTGGGGCTCCGTGTCCACCAAGTAAAACATGCTGAGGTAACTGCAGTGAGCGAGGACCAAGAACAGCAGCACAGCCGCGCTCCAACATCTCTGAGGCCACGTCCGGGGAGCCGATCTGGAACCACAGAGGCGCCTCACCAGGCGCTTCCAGATATACAGCGAGCCAAGGAGCAGCAAGGAATTAATGAAGAGAAGAAACTGCACTCGGAACAGCAAAGCCCGCGTTTCTATATCAACCAGGTCCGATATCAGTGTTCTAGATATGAGCATAGAGAAAAACACGACCCCCGTGGCTAGTCCCACTTTCCCTTCGGCAGAGAGGCGAGCGAAGCCGAACATGTTTCAAGTACACGTAAGTGCTATAATATAACCTAAATAAATTAACCTTGAACTCTTTTACCATGATGGATAATTCCAGCGCTTAAGACACCTAAACCCCCTCATGATACCCTTAAGTTAGCCTGTTTGTCGTTTGTCGTTTGAAACGTAGGTGCACTTCCGCAAACAACGACCTACACGTCGAGATTACCGTATCTCAGTCTCTCTAATGAAGCTAAAACCTGCATCTACCATCATACAGAACCTTCACAGCTAATACACACAACCTATAAAACATATGATCGATCCCATATCGCGAAGCTGTGGATGGAGACGGTTAAGAGGACCACATGACTGTTCCGGAGTTCAAAGGCAAGTGCATGCGTCAAAGCTATTGGTGCAGCTTCACAGGAGGCGTGGCTAAAGTGACGATTCAATTGTTACAAGGCCACTTTGCAAAAATGGTTATTTACATAAATCTCCTATTTTTAGAATTAATAGAACGGCATAGTCATTCTATATACATCCACGTTTAATTATTCATTATTATACCTCATATATCAAACACTTAAGTTAGCCTATAAGAAAAGTTTATGTAAAACGTGGTTTACCCTATGTAGGTTCAAAACAGTCACAGTGTGACAGTCTATGTTTCGTAATTTTACTGGATATAGTAGCCATGTGACTTAGCAAGCTATTCAGCTCCGCCAGTGTATTTAGTGAGACCATGGTCTACAGATCAACCAAAATCAAGGTCCGCAGATGTCGACTATTTAGACCCACTACATATTACTCAGCAAAGCAATGTATTTAAATGTAATTAAGTCACTACGATACTTACTTCTAGAAGGCTATCAGACTCTAAATTCAATACTGCTAGAGAATGCAAAATAAACTGGGTATGACATAATATCAGCATGTCTCATTAGATGGCTTCCTTCCAAATTAGTGACAGTAAGGTTCAGGGTACTTCGAATAATAGGGAAATGTGATGCTTTTTACTGTATTCTTTCTAAGCAAATAAGATGGGCAAAATTAATTAAGCTCGTGAACTGAATTACAAAATTATTTTCAGCAGCAAATTAAATTAAAAATATAACACTTCGTGTTTTCAATAGGGAACAAAGCGGGATTCCATTGATTTTCAAAATGTCTGTATAATTCAGTTGCAGATACAGAGTCATTCGGAGTGGTTTGATGTTAGATGGTTTAAAGTGGACAAGTTTCCCGATTTTCTATTCAAAATCACCAGTGAACTTACATGTGTCTTTGAGTTTTTACATAAAAGTTTTCTTTGTGTTCTATTGTGTCTTATAACACCCAGCATGTACCTCTCTGACATGAATGGTTTGAAAAATGAGGCCAAATTGTATCTCAAAACTGTCGTAAAACGATGTCGCAGGAATCAAGAATCATATTCATAACCACTTCATGAAATAACTTTCCATGCGGGAGTTTTTAGAGCCATTGAACTCCTCAGACATCTGGTTCCTATCACCACCACAGTGAACAATACTGACTCTAGAATGGAACATTTCACATCGAACCACTCTTGTTCTTGTGAATGACTTGCATCTCAACCATTTAATTACGCAGAAAGTTTGAATAAATGGTGGGATTCCCCTTTAACTTAGGTGATGAAAAGCCCAATGCAAAAGACAGGGTTTATGATCAGTGAACCAGGAGTTGCTATAAACTTCGGTGTGTTTTTAGAAAGATAAAATATGCCAACTACAGTTTCTACATTCGATTTTCTGAGGGTGCCAATAATTGAGAATAAACGTGTTTTTTCTATCTTTAAATGATATTATATTACTAAAAGCTTATTTTGGTAGGCAACAAAAACATTTAACAAAAACAAGCTTATTTGTTCCTTTTACGGAGGGTGCCAACGATTCTAGAGGGCAAAAATGGTTATTTATTAAAATATCATTTTAAACTGTAAACTGTCCGCCACATATATATATATATATATATATATATATATATATATATATATATATATATATATATAGCTGAAACCTCATTTTGAATTCAGTGTTAAAAACAGCTTTTTGAAAAATATATTCAACAGCCCAAAGCTGTTTAAACCCGCCCATTCACGCTAAAGCTATAGGGAGTGTTTCAGCCCGGACTGCTTTTTGAATGAGGTGCAATACAGGGCAGCCGATCAGGATATAGGTCGTTTACGTATAAGGCACTGTGGCAGAAACAGGCTGTTTAATTATAGGGATAAAGAGAAGTTAGAAAATAGTCATGTAAAATGAATGATTGTCTTTGTTACATATAAACCACACAAACATTATGAGCGGACCACACTTAAAAATGAAATAAAATACAAATGTAGATAATGGACCCTTTAAGATCAAAACGGATATATTTCATTTCACAACAAAGAAAGACTACTCTTGTACGACAAATATAAGAGTTAAGTTTTATTGAATCAGAATAACAGTGCGTGGCAGGCTGTACCATCACGCGCCATTATTTGCAGCATTTGCTCTTGTCCTTGTCCTTACAGGCGCTGCCGCAGCTGCTCGCGCCCTTCGTGCAGCCCGAGGAACAGCAGCCTACCGACAGACAAGAACAGCGCACAGCGTTAGACAGCCAGCCAGAGACAGAAAGAGTAAAACACACAAACGTTTGTCCCGTAACTCACTTTTGTCGCCTTTAGCGCATGTGCAGTTCGTACACTTGCAGTTCTGCCCGCAGGTACAAGATCCAGCTAGAACGAGCGAAAAGAGAGAACACAGAGAGAATACCCGCTCAGTGATAGCTACCTAAAGCCTTTAACATTAGAGCCAATGAACATTGTTCCAAGTAAATGTTTTATTTCTTGCATTTTAATGACTTACTCTTTGAGCATTCGCACTTGTCCATCTCAGCCCAGTTTTTGACGGTTCGCTGCGATGCTGTCGACGCTGTGTCTTGTCCGCGCTTGCGCCGCTTTTTGTGGCGCTGATGGCGTTTGCGTGACGTCATGCAGCGTGTGAGCTTGAGCCAGAGGGCTGAGGGTGAGAAACATCTGACAGAAATGTGAGCCCCCATTGGACATTTCTCAGAACAGCGAGTCTTTCTGTGATTTTTTGGGTACGTGAACAACTTTTCTTTCCATTTAGGCGAATAAAGCTTTTATTTGACTCTCACTCATTTGTTTTTATAGAAGTAAATTTACTAAAGGCCTCGAGAGCATCAAAATATTTGAGACGTATCAATAGTGAGGAAACAAGCATTCACCATCGAAAGTATCTAGTATAGTATAGTTTAGAGGGAGCATACTAATTACAGCATTGTCTGCACTGCATAAATGATATCTTGGCAAGATATCTTAGGTAGGAATCTTATAAGATTATTTAACTCATTTTTAGGTTAAGAAGTATTTTTTTTGTAAAGTAAAATTGTCTCTCGATACTGAATAATTTTGCTTATTTTAAGAAATATGCTTGAGACAAGCAAAATGATTTACCAATAGAGTGAGATAATTAAGGGAGGTAGGTATCGTTTGTGTTAAAATGTATTTGGTGATATTTTTGTGGAATGCTTAAAATACAATTTAATTTAATAAAACATTAATGACAGTTTAATAAAATATAATTTAATGTTACTTATAGCAGTGGTCCTTAGATACAACAACACAAAAATCAACACAAAAATGGACCGTCTAGGGGGCTCCCTGAGTGCCGATTTAAGAATTTATAGCAATAAAATTATGTACATTATCTGATCGATTGAGGACATGCCATATCAAATGTCCTCATGGTCCAACTTTGGTCTGCAGGCCACACTCTGGGCAGCCCTGTATTAGACCATTACAGCAACTACTTTGCTTTCTCACTTAGCTAAAATAAACAGTTGTGGATGTTAAATGAGAAGAGAAACTACTAGAGATGGTGCTAAACTGTGGTTTTAATGTAAACATTTCATCAGTTGGTCAGATTAAACCAGCAGTACAATGAAGTATACCCCAAGGGAGAGTGAGCATTCAGTACACACACGAAAACATTCACAGCTGAAAAAGAGAAGAAAGGTGGAGAAAAGAAATCTGGGTTAAGTATCAGGTCAGCAGTAAGAAGAAAGAGTGTATGCATCTCACACACACACACACATGCACACACACCATTAAGAAAGTGAGTTAAAGACAAACAATAGCGCAGTCATACAAGAATGTAGTTAAACATGACTTGAAGAGTGCTTTTTCTATATGGTAAGTTTATTTCCCTCTAAAGCTGGTTATATAGCTGTTGGTGCAATTAATTGGTTTGTATTCATAATCTAAAATGAAGAGGTTATGTGAAGGGTAGGGTATACAAAACATATAAACACATACATTAATATTTATAGAAATAATTGAATAAATAAATAATAAATAAACAAATATATAGAATCATTTACAAAGAACTGAACTTGATTTTTACTACTTGTGCTCATGGAGAGTGAGAATGCTGTTGACATCGCGCTGCTTAGGAGATTCATTTGTTGCACAGTATCATATTCCACAGCATGAAGCCGTTGGGTGGAAACTCATTCAGAGGCGACACTAAGTTCACGCATGACTTTGGCTTGAGAGCTGCCTCTGAGCAACATTCAGTTTCTGAAATGACATTCAGCTTAATCAAATGAACAGTTAGGCAAATGTCTCATTCACAGTCATTCAGTATTTCTCAGATATTATTAAACAAGAATAAGCTACAAGAGAAACTGACCCCACTGGGATCCTGAGAAGTTTTAGGCGAAGATCATACTACTGTTGCATCAGCATTTTGTGGTTTTCTGCTCCACATAAGCCTCAGAGAACTTTGTGTGACCAACTATCAGACGCTCATTCATAGTGACTTACATTCATACACGCATGCGCCCAAGCTACGCCTAAGCCCACACTATTTACCCTACATATGTACAGCCATACCCATTTTTTTCCTCAACCAAGAATATGAACATAGATAGACAAGCTACAAAACAAAACCATTGAAAAAGGTGAACATCCTGACCAAAAGACAAAAAAAAAGGACAGCAAAGTAGGGGAGTGCCCTGGCCAAAGGGGTGGGGCTTCAGTTCAATCACACCTTGGTATCAACCAATCAGAGCCTGATGAGGCAGGGGCTTAGTACAGGCCACAGCCACGCAGATTGTTAGCGATGATGATGTCTGTGACAGCGTTAAAGACCACCTGGATGTTTCCTGTGTCAGTCGCACACGTCAGGTGACAGTAGATCTCTTTGTTAGGAGAGCGATTCTTGCTCTCAAACTGCCCCTGTATATATGCAGCTGCATCTTCATATGTGTTTGCACCTGTGTAAGAAACATAAATGACTGCAAACTGGAGCAAAGAAACACTTACTTTTTTGTTTACATGATCATCAAAAGTTTGCACATATGTAGTGAGCATGCAGCCTTCTCAGTCGGCACAGTTGTGTCAGATTATAACAAACACCATGCTGGAAAACATGGAAAACCCTTGCAAAGAGTGGTAAAATTGAAATGTACTTAATGTTGCTCTGTTGACATTTTTATTTTAAATTGTAGATCAACTACACAACAATTTACATAAAAGCTGATAACAGTGCCACTAACACACCATTTAAATAAGTTTTGGTGAAAAACGACAAGCTAGCACAGGTAAATAGAGCTCACTCACTGTTTCAGCCCAAACTACTTTCCGAGTGATGCACAATACAGAGCAGCCAATCAGAAAAGAAGTCGTTTACAAACATCAGTCTTACAGGAACAGTAACAAAAACAGCCTGTTTCATTCTTAGTGAGAAAGAGAGGTTGGAAAGTGATGATGTATTGAACAACCCTGTACTTCATTCATAATATGGGTATATAACTGTAAAATTGCTTTTAAATGTATTCAAGTTTTAAAAGTAAAGATACTATTATTATAGTCATGTTGTATTATTTGGGCTCTATTAAAGTGAAATATGGTTGCAGAGATGTAAAACATAAAATAGAGTTGATGCTTTGAATTTACATCATTCAGACATGTCAGAGAGTTCCACATAAAGTGTGCTACATCAACATAATTGCAAGATCGTCTTTAACTTTACTTCTTTTTGCAAGAAACAAGTTCTTGTTATATATATTTAAATGGTGTTCTTAGCACTTAGTACTTTGATGTACAAAGCCCTTTGTCTGTGTATGGCAATAGCTAGCTTCTACATGGGTGCAACAAGCAAATCAAAATGAAAAAGTGTGATGATGTGCTATGACTGTTTTGTATCAATTTGAAAATGCATCATGTTCTTTCTGATATTTTAGATAGTCTGGCTTTTCTCTACTTCAGAGTAGCAAGTAAAGATATACTGCAGCAAGTAGTGAAGTGAAAAGTAGGATATATTTTACATTAAAATGGAGTGAAGTAAAAGTAAACGTTTATAAAAAGTACAGATAGTTTGTGTGCATGTCTGTTTATATGCATACCTGTATATTCTGGGAAGCATATAGTTAATGGAGATTTCTTGATCTTCTCCCCAAAAAGATCCTTTTTGTTGAGAAAGAGGATGATGGATGTGTCAACAAAGAACTTATTGTTACAGATGGAGTCGAAGAGCATGAGAGACTCATGCATACGGTTCTACAGAGAGAACAGAGAGAGCAGAAAAGTAAGAGACATTAAGATTCAAGGCCTTTCGTGACTTAGCCTTGTTTTTGTTTAATGAGTGGGTAGACGTAAACCGATGATGATACCAATCAGAATAAGCTTGCAAAATAATTATACAGCAGTTCACATTTTGTCACTGACATTAATACCATGGAAAAAACTCTGGCAGTTTAACTTCCCTAAGCTTCCTTTGAGAGCCCTCATTTTTCTCTCTTTTGCAGAGTAAAACACAAGTTCAGCAGAACATACAGCACTGAATGCGTTGATGCACTATGCTCTCAGACACGCAGCTAAAAAGAAGTCTTGTTATGAATATATATGAGATCTGGATCCTGTCTCTTTATACTACTTTAGAAATAGATAAGGAGTATTTACACAGCATGAAACAAAGTTGAAGTAATTCAAAAGATTTAAACTTTTATATATACAAAAACATTTCAAACTCAAGGATTCATTTAAAAAAATCACTGCAATGATTTGCAATTTATCTTACAGCTTGTGAAGTTGCATAACAACTTGATTGCTTGTTATGTATTTTGGACTACAATCCTAGATTAAGGTCCTAAATTTCAATCAGTAAAGCAAAGTAGTTAAAATCATTTTATTCCATGCTCTTTTTCTAATTTTCCTCAAAGCCAGTTGGATCCAGTATTACTAACCCAGAAGAGTGAAGGCCTTCCTTTGAGTATGTAAGCAAACACCATATCTTTTCAATTTATTGCTCACATAGGGCTGGTTTCCCAAACATTGATTAAGCCAAATCTTGGACTAAACTTCAGTGTCAATGGTGAAGCTTCATTCAAATTCTTTTTAGTCTATTCTTTAGAGCCTGCAGTACCATGACTTAAAATGGAGCTATTTATGATTTTCGCACGATGTACTTACAGTGTATTTAACACTGATCTGTTGTGTGTGAGAATGTGTATTTTGGCAAATGTTTGCAACTGTGTGCGTTTACCGTTGTCTCATCTTCGTGTAACACTTGGTCATACCCACTCAGTGCTACACAAAAGATAATGGCTGTCACATCCTCAAAGCAGTGGATCCATTTCTTCCTCTCTGATCTCTGTCCCCCTACATCGAACAGCCTAAAGAGAACAGAACACAAACACACAGTCACATTCATAGTGTAATGTGTATTTTAAAATGTTCTGGGGCTACAATTGCGTATTCTATAATTTAGCACTTAATACACTACATATTACGCAACATTCAGCAACTAAAGTCTACTAATATCTGCCATATTATAGGCACTATAAATACAAGCATGTGCAAAGATTTAAACATCCCTGGTTAAATTACATGTTTTGACTTTTTTAAGTGAAAATAAGTTAATATATCCTTTACAGGAAACACATTTTCAACTATTTGTAAAATTCAGCAGACAACCAGGAATAGTGCATTAAAGTATGCAGAAGTGTGTTCTCTGTAGACGATGGATACTGATTTTCAACAAAACATGTTATTTTTGACTGGGGTGCCCAAACTTTTGTATATTACAAAAGCAACAGACATCAGTCAAATCAAACACAGCTAACTAACTGGCTAACGGGACAAAGCCACATTTTTTTGTTGTTTTAGCTTTGTGCTCAAGCACATTACATTTGAGATTTCAAAAGACAAGTGTTTTCTTTTCAACACATGGAACATTTCTGTGCACACTGCTTCAGTGTATCTTCTGATTTATTTGATAAAGTTTGACTTTGGAGTTTTTATCATGGAACGAGTTTTGCTGTTTTGTCTTTGTATTCCTGCACTCTAATAATATGTATTGTATTCTTGAACAAGGATTATGAAGAAAGAGTGCAGAATACCATCTTGAATTTGAAGGATTACATCTATGTTGGGTGAACTGTAAAGGCATCACAGACTTTTTTTATGCAGAGCCTAGTTTTCCCACGTAAAGGGGTCACTGAAATTCCACAAATTAACATAATTTTCCTAAAAATTGTCATGTTTAATACTTGACTGCAGATTTTTTTCCTTTCATTAACTATATTAAGTCTTTGAGACATCATCAAATGCTGGGTGATTTTTCTGTTCTTCCAGGTAAATGTCTTTGCTTTTTGCTTAGACGTCATCTTTCTAGTTAGTGATATGCATTCTTAGTTGGGTTCAGCTCAGGTATTTGACTTATCCTATGAAGAACATCCCATATTTTGGCCCTAAAAAACTCCCTAGTACCTTTAGTATGTTTCTGAGGCGTAAACACAGGTAGGCCTGGGCTTACACAGACTGATCACAGGCCTACCCAGTCAAATGGGGAAGGAATAAGTTTTAAGTTAATGAAATCTATTGTGCAACAGTGCTGTCACTGTTTTATAACCAATCAAATTTTTAAGCTCTCCACCAAGCTCCAACTTATTTACCTCAGCTTTCCAGTCACTGCATAGCAACTATTGCTATCTGCCACTGTTTGTTAATGGCACACAAGTGTTTGAATTTGAAGCTCTGGTTTCTTCACCTTTCTGATCTTTTCATCTTCTTTTTATTTCAGCTATCTGATTTTATCTCAGTCATGTTGTCTTCTTTAGGTCTGCCCGCTTTGGCAGTCTAGCCTAGGATGATTATGTTAAGTTTGCTGTGTTGTTTTTTGTTATTTATGTCATGTTCATTGGGCAAACATTCGGTGGCATTCGGACACATGTACTATAGTCTTTATAGTAAAGGGTGCTGTAGTGTTTGTTGTGTTTATGTGAATCCAGTTTTCTGGTTGATTGTTATATGGGGTAGAAGTGTTGGAATAGGCAGGTATAACAGCATGGCTGTCAGAAATGAGATGTGATGAAATTGTGGGACATTAGTGTGTTGGGGAGTTTTAATGTACCAAACTGGCCTACCCACTTTTCACTGGCCTACCCAAAAATGTATTTCTGCCTATACCACTGGTAAGTTTAATATGTTTTGAGGCATTTGGTTGGATCTGAGCAGTTGAGATTTCATCGCACTTTAGAATTCATGCTGCTGCTGCCACTGGCAGTCACATTGTCATAAAGACAGGTCAGCCAGTTCCAGTGGCAACCAGGTGAGAGTTTGTAATGCATTCAATGCCTAGAATCAACACTAGACATTTTCTTAAGCACATTTCCTCCCTCTACATTTGGGAAGACTGGTGGATTCCAGTATGGTTCATTGTAAATGTGAAAGTCCTCATAATAAAGCTGCCATCCTGTGCTTTAACCTCAGAGTCATCATTTCATTTCAGATTCATCAAATAAATCAGCACATACATTGATACAGCATGCAAAGAAATTTTCCTACTGCTGACACCTTACCTGAAGTTGAGGTTCTTGAAAGTGAAGTGCGTCTCCACAATGCCAGTAGTTTTAACGCGTGTCCGAAGAATATCCTGCTCAGTGGGCAGGTAGTCTGGTGACCCAATGCGCTCCAAACTGTCCAGGTAGCTACAACATGAAACTTATATGTCAACACATGGACATGGGATTAAAATTTTTATGGTTAGTATGAACCTGTATAAACCTGATGTTTTCTCATAATGTGAACAAATCTAGCAGCATTAGGCATGTCAAATTATAATACTTGCCACTTATACATTGTCACTGTCAGAACTTACCTTGTATCTTATTTTTGTTGTTGTTTTCTTTACACAATTTGAAAATAGCAGCCACATTATATAAAAATGTCATTATGAATGGACCTGTAGAAATGGTCCAATATTACTTATAATAAAATATTTTTACATTAACTTACATAGAACATCAGTAATGTTTTTAGCTTCTCCTGTAACATTACTATTTTGGAGATACAAGGTTTTGTCTCAACAGCACCAGTATGTTTGTGAATGTCTTACTATTGGGCAGAATCATTGAGCTGATATTCTCGTGAGCGATTGAAGCAGGCCTGAGTTCCTCCATCTTTCCACAGACGCATCATGGCCGCCAGCAGTTCAGGAGAGTAGGGCTCTGTGTCCTCCATTCGGCTGACCACGTCAAAGATTAGCTTTGCATCAGCCTGAAGATATACACACATTAGGAACATGGATTAGGCTCAGTCTTGGACTAAATTGGAGTTCCAATGGTGAAATTATTTTTAGTCTGGGAAGCTGGCTGTGTATACATATGAAGACAATTACATATTATGAAAAAGTAAAAAAAAAATTACGCCCCTTTTATCAGTACAAAATAAGAATGGCAGTGCTTCACTGTGTTATAATAATCATTCATTAAGAGGATTTATTATACTTTGATACACTAGATGTCACTGTAACCCAGTTAATCATAAAACTTGACTGATGTAGGTCATAGTTGCCCAATCCTGCTCCTGGAGAACTACCGCCCTGCAGAGTTCAACACACCTGACTCTAATCTGTAGATGCTACATAGAGGCCTACATATTATTAGAGTCAGGTGTGTCAGATCTAAACCCCACTAGATGGGGCTGGGCAAAGATAAAGTTTTCAGAACAGGTTAATCAACATGGAATGTAAGGAATAAAAACATGCTACACTTTAAAAAAGGTCGTTCTTCAAGGGTTCTTTAGCAAAGCAAAGAGTTCTATATAGACAATGGTGAAATGGTACATGGTATATGGTTCTCTGTAGAACCTTTTTGAATACTTATATTGTTACAAGTTTGACATTGTTACAATAGAGGAACCCTTTTTGGTGCTATATAGAACCCTTTTCAAAAGGTTCTGCAGAGAACCATGCAGAGCACTTTCTCCATCAATCTGAAGAACCTTTTAGAGAGAAGATCTTATATTTATAATGCAACAGATGGGGGCATTCACAGTGGAAGGAGGTTTGTATGTATCACTGATTATTGTGGTTTGTGTGTGCATACTCACAGCCCTGCTCTTGTCGGTATACTCAATGCCGAGGGTCTCCATAGCTCGCAAAATGGTGGCCAGACTCTGAATGGTGTTACTATAGACGACGGGTTTAAACTGCTTTACATCATCTCCACTGAAACCATCTTCATGGATAATCCTAATACACAGACATACTATAAGTAAAATCTTATACTGTCTCTCTCTCTCTCTCTCTCTCTCTCTCTCTCTCTCTCTCTCTTTAACACACAGACACACAAATGTTTTTGTCAAATGTTATTCCACCAACTCATTAACGCAGAGAAACTGAAGCATCCAGCCAAATCTGTTTAAATGTGTTATGCAATTAATTTAGTGAGAGTTTTGTTATGTAGTGTGTTATGTGGCATGTGGGCTGATCAGATAAAAGCTGAACTTCTTGTGCAGTTTCTTTATTTCAGTCCACTGGGCAGATCTGGTTTTGCTGTTGTGTAACTTCATAAGCCTGTAATGTTGTGGACGGCACTTGTAGTAAACAATGTTAAATCTGTTGCAAAGTTGCCACAGTTGTGTCATTTTCCCAGCTGGTGTGCATGGTTGTGTGCTTGTAAGGTTAGGTGGCATAGTCGCACAAAATCCGTTTAATGGGTAGCTGGTGCTTAACAAGACTGTAGGGATCAGGCACTAAAAGCCACCCATTAAGATTAACACAGAGAGAGATTCAAACGCAAACCCACACACAGTCTCTCACAGACACATTAAAGAAGGACCAAGCGTTCACTGACCCTTTCTTCCTTCCACTGCAACACACACACTTTTGATATAAGCACAAAAAACTGACCAACACAAACACTGACCCATGTGCACACATAAACGCACTCAGAAGGAAACCCAGTGACTACACACTGCACAGAAACACACAGAACTGTCTCTGGGGGGAGAGTGAAGTTTCAGCACCACCACAGCGGACAGCGCCGCAAATCGCCGCGACTGGACGCCAAAGCGGGGCAGAGAGAGAGGGGCATGCAACGGAAACATGGCGGAGCTGGAAAAGGAGGGGAGCTCAGCAACCAGCACGGGCACGAGCGCTTCAGAAAGACTTACTTCATCTGTTTGACAATCGTGCTCTTCCCCGACTCCCCGCCGCCTGCGAACACACAGGCTGTTAGGAAGCCACGCGCTAACACACCATCCACACGTGTCCACACACACCTGCGATTGTGAACGGCTCCGTCCACCAAAACACAAACGCACGCAACCTTCCATCAGCCCTGGACCCCCGGTGTCTTTTCCAAACGGTCTTACCGAGCAGCAGGAGTTTGACTTGTTTGGCGGCGCTCAGTCCGTCCTCGCGCAGATTCTTCTCGATTGCTTTGCTCCGATCCAGCGCCGCGCGCTCCTCCGCGCTCAACGTGCAGCCCATGGCGGGACCGAGGCACCGGGGCGCGCGAGCGACTCAGTCTGCGGGAGTAATCCCGTCAGTGTCTCTTGCCCCCCCACCGTCTCTATCTCTCTCGCGCTCTCTCGCTCTCTCTCTCTCTCTCTCTCTCTCTCTCTCTCTCTCGCTGCTTTCGTCTGCTCACGTCGTTAGAGATTCCGAGCCGGATGCATGGAGGGACCTCTAGCTGGAAGGATGGAAAGAGGAGGGAGGAGGGTCCGCGTGCGCGCTCCGGATGGCGGAGAGGGAGGGAGGGGGGCTCATCGGGCAGCGGCAGCGGCAGCGGTGACGAGCAGTGAGCGCACGCGCGACCGTCAGAGCCCCCTCTTCTCGCTCTGACGTCAGAGCCGCGCTCGTCCACGCGCCGAGAAAAAGTGGAACGCGGGAGTCACACTTTTATAATAAAGCTATAACGGTCCGATCATACAGACAGACGCTAGAGAGAGAGAGGAAGAGGGAGAGGAAAGTGAGAGAGAGAGGGAGTGAGAAAGAGAGGAAGGAAAGGGGGGGTGCTTCTGAGGAACAAATGTCCGCGGTTTGTGTTTGTGTTCTGTCACAGTCTGAGTACGGGTCGGAGCTTTAAAAGGGTGCTGGATTTCTCTAATGCTCTCTTTCTCTAAGTATGGAAACAGATGTTCCACCGCTAGATTGTCAAAGGCCAGCATAATAGTTTTGTGTGTGTGGGTGGGTGCGGGGCTGGGGGAGGGGGGCGTCGCTTCATAAGTTAAGAGAAGTCAGTGATGTGGGTTTTAGCTAAAAGGCAGTCTAACATACCCAAACATGAGCACATGCAGTTTCTTTGAAAGCCCTGCGTCCCACATCAGGGTGAGATTTCATGGGTGGTTGGTAATCTGTGGGGATTAGAATGTATCCGAGATGCAGAGTTACTACGAAAACTGTCACACCGAAGTGACTCTGAAGTCAGAGAGGAAAAAATAATCCAAAGGATCCATCTTGTGCGCCAGCTTCACTTGTCCAAGCGCCCCCCTCCACCCCGACGCACACACGCACAGACGGCTCGTTCTGATGGATTACTTCACTGAGATAAGAGCCATATCGGGGCGCGTGGCCTGCTTAACGTGCTTTTATCTTTATTACCGGCGACCTCGGCGATGCTCCTCCGTAAAGCCCTCAACGTCACACGCACAACGGAGAGTCATTACATAATCATTCACATACAAGCGCGTTAGCCCGCGGAGAAACTCTTTAGTAATTACACAAAAAGGCCAGAACATCACAGCACACAAGTCATGATGTGTCCCAACGGAGTCTCTTGTTCTCAGGTGTTCCTCCTGGGTGGTCTTCTCCTCAGACAAAACGGTCAGACCCCAGAGTAGAAAAGGAGCAGGAGGAGCTAAATCCCCATAACTAAAATGAATGTGATCTCTTAACCATCTAATACTTTAATGGCAGGTCCTGCGTAATGCTTTAATGGAGAAAAGCCTCCTCCATTTCATTAATCTGACCGCCCTCAATAGATACCATTAAGCTAAAATTAATTTCTAAGAATAATGGCGTCTCATATCATATCAGAACACAATCATCTGTATGCATTTTTTTTTTTTTTCGTTTTTTGTCTTTTTTTTCCCCCCACACTAGTTTATCAGACTAATGACAAGACCCTACACCCGATATCATGAATGACTTTTGTTCAGGTCAGGAAATCAAGATACCTTTTCAGTTTTTAATCTTCACAGTGTCCTCACTCTCATTCATCTCTCATAGCATGTTTATGATCATCAGACTTGATAACAAAAAAATAACTATGAGCACCCTGTGGTCACTTTGAAAGAAGGAACAAAAGAAAACAGGACATCAGGGGGGATGTGTTATACAAAACGTCTATGAAGAACTTTATTGAAGGTCTCCAAGCAGGACACGAAGAAGGATTGTGAGATGCATCACAGGTTGAGAAAAGGAGAAACAATCAAGGCAAGATGAAAACATAAAAAAACATATCAAAATATAACAACAGTGATACAGTGAAACTTTAAGTTCAGTTGAAACACACACACACACACACACATACACACAATTACAGGTACTACTAGGGGTGTAGTTAGTTTCAGATTAAAAAGTCCAATCTTCAGCAGTGTTGAGCTTTCTTAAACTGGCTAGCGATGCTGCGTTGTTCTCTTTACTTGCATTTTCACCACAATACAGTACAATACTGGAAACCATTTGTAACGTAAGTCAGTTAGGTTCCTTGTGAAGGCTTCTACAATGCAAAACATGTCAGAGCCATTCTGATTAGCTCAAGGGCTCAGTGGGTTTAGGTTAGAGCCGAGATGGTACAAGACACTTTGATTCTGCCTACCCCAAATTTATTTTAACCCCCTTACATCATGAAGTCTTCACAAAAAAAAATCTCAGAGGCTATCAGGCTAAAAGTCTATGCAGCAATCAAACAAACAGCAAACTGCAGACTGCTCTTGGCTATTCTACTGTGAATTACTGTAAAGTGTTTGGACCCTTTGGACAAAGCACTGGTTGATTTGGCTCAGGACCCCAACATATTACAGCATTTAGTCTGACTGGAAAAAGAAAAGCAATACCAAAAACAGAATACATATGGTTGCTGCTGGAACAGAGTCAAAAACAGAATTTTACAGGCGAAGGAAAAAACAGGAAGAAAAAACTTTCAATGTAAGTTAATGTAACATGATTTTATTCTAAGTAATTTCGGACCATTTCCGTTGGTGCATTCATCATGACATATTGAGACAATGTAAAGGAGAGCTGTCAATTTCAAACAAAATGGAGAAAGTTTTGTTCTAACTGTAACAATGTGTTTTGTACATATGGACTGCAAAAAGCATTACATAACGTGGTTGAGTTTAATACATAGTCACAAGCAGTTTTCACAGAATGACAATCATGCATTAAGTACCTGATGCTTGATATATCTCCAGATGATGCTCTTTGGCCAAAAGTATTTGGTTTTTCCTGATAATCATGTGGAATACATGCTCTGGTTTGGACTTATTTTTGCAGTGAAGTCTGCATCACTATCTCCTTCATTATCTTAACATTCACAGTCACAGACAAAAAAATCCTCTACAATTAAGGTTAAACCCTTTTGCATGCAATTCATGTTAAAACAAACACAACTAGCCATGGCCAAAAAAAAACAATACAGTCAAAATAATAGAACTGTAATTACAATCCTTGAACTGACTGTAGATCACAGATAATCCTTGTCCTGATACATTTTGTGTATTCCTTCCAACATACCCAGCTCAGCTCAAGAAGAATCTTATAATTTCCTGAATAAGCACAAAGTGTGTTAAATTAGGGAAAATACATAGTACCCATAACTTGCATTAAGGAACAATGTCCATGATCGACCTCTAAGCATGTGCCCCTGTGGCACAGCATGAAGGACAGTCTGTCTAGAAGTAAGAATGCAAAATGCAAGGCATATTGTTTTATCTCTAAAGTACTATAAAATACAAAATTTTTAAAATAGAAAACTACTGAATGAAATAAAAGGAGAGGTATACAAAGCATACTGAATATAAAAAATATCTGACCCCATTCCCAATTTTACCTTTTGTAACCCTCAACATATTTAGACTTTTTTAAAAGATTTTGACTTTCAAGGTGTAGAATTTGATACATGAAACATACATGTTTTATACTTTCACGGTCCACTGCTATTAGCAATTAATAGTACCAGTGTTTAAAATGATAGTATTGACAGGGCTTTCATACAAGACTCCTAGAGATCCAAATCCCATTATTCAACGAATAATGTGAATGCTGAATGATTCTGTATTTCTAAGCACGGACGCACTATATGAGAATTGTGGGGCGCTGCTGATATCTGATATCTTTCATGTACATATCTGCCTATGCTGATACGGATATATAAACATTTATAAAATGTAGAAATTGGAACTAGATCCAGTTGGATTAGCATTACAGAGGAATGTAATGTTTGTAGAGGGTTAGAAATGCAGTAAAATTAATCAAATGCAAATCTTTTTCTTTTAGCTTAGTAGCTCAGCATCATTTAAACCTTGTGCTCTTCTGGAGTACAATGAACATGCCATTAAATATTGGTTTTAAATATCTGTCAAATCCTGTTCCATGCATAAAATTTTAAGCAAATATCTGCTGATACTGGTATGATTTCAGATATTCCTAGTTTTTAAGTCTAGGCTACATAGTGTAACCTGGTATGCTGTAAAATATGGTTCGTCAGTTCAACCTAAAAATTACTTAATGTGGTAACAAGTAAGTTTATGAGTTCTATTTCATTTAAACAATCTGACTTTCAACTATTTATTTGAGTTGGATAAAACTAGTTTTATTGCTTATTACCTTATGAAATTATGTTTTAGGTTGAGCTGACAAACCATTTTTCCCCAATGCAGGAACAAAAAAAAAAACACACCCCTGGGTACCAGATGTAGACATGCACGCACGCACACACGCACACACACACACACACACACACACATATTCCAGTCTCTCACTCGCGTGGCTGAATGTCCAACATGATCTCGGCCATGTTGGTCAGCTTGCTTTCCTCCAGTGCGCTGATGAGGCGTCCCAGCCTGGCGCTCCGTCCCTCTGATTGGATGAACCGTCCCAGTAGCTGGTAGGCCTGTTCGTAAAGCCCTTCTCGCTCGTACTCATAGGCAAGATTATCGATGGCGGTCCCCTTCAGAGCCCTGCAGTTCTTCTGTAAAGCTCTACCCACTCGCTTCCAGTCCCGTCCCACGTGAGCAGCAAAACGTTGCTGGTCTGCAGATGTCAGTGGCCGATCATCTTTAAGGATATGAAGAATGGGACAAATTGATAAAAAAAGGAGAGAGTAATTGCTCATTCTAGTCAGACTGTCAAATGTATAGTACTGTGACCACCCATTTGTTTATTTAATCTCCAATCAAGTTATTTATTCATTCATTTATTCATTCATTCATTCATTCAGTGTCAGAAAAACAAGCAGGAAACATATATTTAACATATATATAATATATAATGCACACTACTGCCACTTTAACTCTTCCACCCTTCCAGTCAAAACCAACACGTTACACCCACGTCTTTTGGTGTTTCCAAAGGTGTCACTGACATTCAGACAAGCATCTACCCAAACACACCTTAGATGCCTTGCACATTTCTCCCATGTGCATCTAAAATGGCTAAAGGAGATATTGCAGACTAGATCAGATAAGGATAATCCACTCGCATAAGGAAGGGGCAAATTAACAAGTGAAAATATAGGACTTTCCTAGCCAGGAGTTCCAAAACAATTAAGACATGGAGAAAATGGGACTCCTAACAACTGTGCAAGACCTGATAGACCACCAAAACTGTCACCACATAAACAGCACCTAAAATTTCCATCTTCATCAAAGCACTACTCTTGCTCCAGATTTGAAAAAAATTACAGGTATTTCTATAGGATCTGCAAGGATGTGCAGCTGTTAAGAAGCAGTAACTGACAAAAGGAAATGCACTAGAACACTGACACTGGACATCTGAGATGTAGAGTGAGGTTTTATAGACTGATGAATCTAAATTTCAGATCTTTGGACATAACAGAAGGCAGTATGTACAGTGCCAAAGCAATAAAAGCCTCTGTATACCAAGTCTACAACCATCAGCCAATAATGGTGGAGGACCAGGGCAAGTTTGGCCATAACATCTGCAGTTGTTGATCTGTTTTTGATTGTAGGTATCATGAATGATGTTAAGTACAAACAATTTTTTAATATATCATGTAATATCCTCTGGAAAACATCTGATTGTTAAAAAGTAATGACTCTAAGCAATGGACTAGAGACCAGATTTCAACATCACTGAATTTTTCTGAGTTAACATGGACCATGAGAAGCAGAAAATGCTTCTTCTAAGACTGAACCAACTTCTAAGACTGAATTTTAAAGGTGTGGAAAAAAGACCCCTGCAGATCTCTTTAAAAAACTGAAAGCAAGTCTCCCAAAAAGAATGGAAGATGCAACAAATACAAAACGTGGACATATTAAATAACAACAAATTTGACAATTGTTGGGGGATCTGGTATTTTCTGTTATACATATGTTTTCTGCTTTTTTTCTGATGCTGAAAAATTAATAATAAATGAGATTTGTCTCTGACTTTTGCACAGCACTGTGGATATTTTGGGGATATTCTTGCAAAGTACAAAACAAAAAGAATAAACTGTTCATTATACTCACCAAACATGCGTTTCTGGAACAAGAAGCAGTTTTTGGGCACTTCTTGTGGTGTCTGAACGGGTGGGGCATAGCTATTCTGTAGCTGCTGTTCAAGCTGTGTGACCTCATCATCCCGCAAACGCACAGGCTGTAACCAGCCAAAAAGACAGATTTGAATGTTTATTAGATTATAAGTTTAACAAACTTCTTGGATGGCTCATGATACTTTTGTTTAGGATTTCTGGCCACAGCATCAATTTAAGCCTTGTTTAGATAAGGATTACTTGAAGGGGAAAAAGTTTAGCCTACTTATTATCATATTGTGGCCCAAGAGAAACTATATGTGAGTGTTTACCTGAGATTGATATATATGTTGCAGGCAGAGTTCTGTGTTTTTAAGGTCATGGTCCAAGATGTGTGTTCCTGCCTTGAGCACAGCTTCCATAGCAACCCCATCAGGGAGAGTGAGCAGGCGTGAAGCATGCTGAGACAAAAACTGAAGAAGCGAGCCACAAGCATAACTATCCAGGAACCGTTTACAAGGAAGGGCATCCATGAACTTCAGTTCCACTCCCAGGAAGGGGTCAGCATCATGCAGCTTCAGGATTTCATAACCATCAAGACCACCTGCAACATCTAGTCCAGAATTCAACACAACCTCTGAGTATATTAATACACTAATTGACACTAACTTCACTTCCCATAATAAACTCATACAACATAGTCATTCTTTTGTGAATTACATTGGCATTATTTTGATTCTATATGGCTGCATTAGAGTCCCTTTATTCCACCAAGTGTGTTACACACGACATGTAAATGACTGAACAGACCAGACAAGCACACGGGCTACTAACAAATATTTCTCTGTAAAAGACACACACAGTGCCTCTTTTTCTTACCTGTAAGAGTCAGTTTGATAACCTTGAACACGCTGAACTTCCCATGCTTGTCTTTGTAGAAAGTGAGCAGATCAGATCCTGGATTGCAACAACGCAGGAAGAGCACAGCACACCCTGACCAGGCACGATCATTTGTGCTGTTCACAGCCATCTTCTACAACTCAGGCAAACAGTAACACACTCAACAACCATGACAAACATTATTATTTATATATATTATTATAGTATTATTATCATATACACAGACCCATATACACAGTAAACACAGCCACTGCCAAAAAATATGCTTACATAAAGTATACATACCGTGTATTCTGTACTGCCCATTACCTGAGCATCCCAAACACCTCTAATTCCCTCAGTGCCTGCACATAAAACATTATTTGTAAGCCAAGAGATAAGTCTAATAAACACAACTGAATATTCTGTATAGATACACTATAAACATGTTAAATATCTAAGATCTATGCTGCAGATGTATGTTTGCTGGCAGAATGAGCATTTTTTGTTTAAATTTTATTCACATGAAAACAGGCAGCCCTGCATACACATAACTCAGTTTAAGTGCAGACGTTTGTGTGAGTGTACTGTATTGTTTCACACTACAACCAGTGTTAGCTACTGAGTAAACACAAATAGGAAGCATGGCTGATAAGTCACTTTAGGCTTAGTACTTTAATAGTTGTGTACAATAAAGTGTATCTATAAAGATATTTAGACAAATAGAGTATCCTGGTAAGCCAAAAGATGAGTCAAATGAACACATACATACATACCAATACTCTGTATCTGTATAGATACACTACAAAATCTGTATGAATATGAATATCTTACTAAGACACTCTATTTGTCAAAAATATCTTTATCTGCACTGAAATGCTAGAGATAATAGACATATCATATTATCACTATAGCCCATACATTTTCATGCCATCTCTAATAAGGAATAAAAAAGTATATAAAGACCAACAAATGTGTACAGCTCTTCAAAACATTTAAAGCTGTACATAGTAGGGGTGGGAAATATGGGTAAAAATATAACTTCACAATACTTCAAAACATTTTCATGATATTCAATAAGTATCACAATATTTGGAACAAGAAACAAAATAGAACCATTACACCCATTTACAAAATACAAAGGTATATTTACAAAATACAATCAAACACTATAAATACAGTCTCCAAAGTAGCGTAACTATGTAAGCAATGTCCCGATTAGTGGGAAATTGATCCCCAGAAATGCTACAGTCATCTGTGGCCAGCAGTTGAGGAGGACATAATTGGCCTCCCTCTCTCTGAGTGGGCAGAATAGCCTTCCCTCTCCCCCACCACTGAGCACGATGCTATCCGACGTGGGCTTCTGTTGCCTAATGTAACAGAATTGGCACTTAGTGTTCTCTTCCAAGCATACTTAGCTGTCCAATTATGTTGCGTTAGCAGCTTCATGTATCTTCATGGAAGCATATGTTAGCCCTCACCCTCCCAGCATCATGTGTTGAGGAAGGCCTAACTAGCATGTGGAACTGGCCATGGCTAAATTGGGGAGAAACTGGGTAAAAGTCAAATAAATAAAATCATATATATATAATGTAATAAATATATTATGACATAGGGGTGGGCAATGTGACGATATTTTAGCGTTAAGGAGATAAATGTTATGATGACAGACAATATGCTTTTCTGAGCATACCATAGATAACGTCACTACCTAAAGAACTCTGAACAACTGCATGTGTCATTATATAAAGTGCATAATTCCTGAAGTCCTGTTTAACAGATTTCTGTGCAGCACTGTATGCGAAATGTTAAAAAACAATCATTGTATTGTTTGTATTTGATTTTTTAGTTATGCGTTTTTAGATGTGATTTTAGATTTAAATACTGTCATACTGCCCACCCCAGTATATAGCTTTTGTAATGCACATTCTACCATTATAAAGACCAGGCCAGGACAAACATGTTTTGTTTTGAAGGGGCCAAAGCAAAAAATAATAAGTTTTGTAGACAACAAGTAGTGACCCCTTTTGAAGACTCTGATGTGAATGTAAGGACTAGACCTCTGGATTTGATTCTTATGAAATGATGTCAGGTGGACAGAATTTTGAGAGGTTATGGCTCAGGTAAGAAACTGTATTCTGGACACTCTGTAGGTGATCAGTGGCAGATGAAGCCCAACAAGGATGGAGGTACGTCCAATGTCTTAGAGGTCTAATCAACAGAATCTGTAAGTACAAGTAATACGTTCTGCTGGTCCAGAGGCGTCACTAGACCTAATTTTCTGAGACATGCGCCCTAGTGAAATGGTGATATGCTCTTTTATAATCTCAGAGAAATGATTCAACAGGAAAACAGGAAAAGCTTTTTTTTTATTTTAACCTTTATTCTTGAGCTAAACTATGCAATACAAAACATTATGACCATGTAAATGAATTACAATCAATACAATTCCCATAGCACACTTCCCCTAGCCTCTTTGCTTTGAACACTTTCAGTTTCCATGAAGTCAGGCTAAAAGAAGAATTAAATCAGGGTGTGCGGCAATTATTCTCAATATTGAGCTAGCAGTAGTTATACAAAAATATGTCAAAAAATGGTCAAAAATATGTGGACACTGCTCCACATTATTGAGTTTAGGTGCTTCAGCCAAACCAGCTAACAGGTGTATAAAATCAAGCACCTAGCCACGCAATCTCCATAGACAAACACTGGCAGTAGAATGGGTTGTTCTGAAGAGCTCAGAGAAATTAAACGTGGCCCTGTCATAGGATGCCACTTCAGCCACAAGTTAGATGCTCTGCTAGATCTTCCCCAGACAACTGTGAGTGCTATTATTGTGGAATTGAGCAATTAGCAATCTAGGAGTAACCATACTCAACCACAAAAGGACAGACCACATAAACTGACAGAAAGGGGCCTGTTCTTTCCCATTCCAGCATGACTGTGTCCCTGTGCACAAGGTGAGGTCCATAAAGACATGGTTTGATGAGTGTGGTGTGGACAAACTCCAGTGGTCTGTACAGAACTCTGACCACAACCCTACTGAACACCTTTGGGATGAATTGTAACACGGATTGCAAGCCAGGCCTTCTCATCCAACATCAGTGCCTGACCTCACAAATGCTCTTTGGACCGAATGCACACAAAACTCCACAGACACATTAAAAAATCTTGTGAAAAGCCTTCCCAGAAGAGTGGCAGAAGGAGTGAGAGAAGGAGTCAAATAGGGAGAAAGAGTGTGCCTTTTGAAAAGGTTTTGAAAATGACTTGGGGAAATCAACATGTATGTACTAAGCAAATCAGACCGCCTTGGTATCCACATCAGTACTTCGACAGAAAAGGACATCTTTTTCCAGGATACAGTTTTCAATTAAAAAAAACAAAAAAAAGTGGCTCTGTGTTCTTCATGCCAGGCTGTATTGACTACTCAGCCCATATTACTGGCAAGCAAGGAGGCTGAGCTGTACCCCCCCTTAATTCTGTGTGTGCAAACACCTCTGGGCTGAGCTGGTCACCTAAGCAACTCTAAGGTTCCTGACAATGTATGCAGGATAAAGTGTGAGGTCAACAGTAGCGATGTGCAGATTGAGATTCAGACAGTGTTTTAAAGGACTGTCAAGTTACATTTTATCATGCATACACAGGAAAGGCTAAAGCCAGTACACGACGAGACACCACACAATCTGATACACGTTGGGAGAGTCCGAAGGTGGAAAAAGTAGGGTTAGATGTCAGCTACGTAACGATTCGTAAGTGTTTGGGGGATCTCCAAAAATATAGCTATACATAAAGCTGTCACTATAACAAGTTACATTTGTCTGCTATGCACGCTGCCGAACATGCATATCGAAAATACAATTTAATCTAGAAGAACTCATCAAAGAACAAACCATTTCGCATCTACATCAACATCTAACCATTTCCTCGTCAGGAAATGTAAAAGTGTTCGTTAAGTGGGTCAGTCGTGTTTCGAGAGAAGGAAACTGTGAAGTGACGAACCGGAGGTGCACGCGTCACGCGAGTCGCGTTGGCAGGTAATAGAATGCGACCCACAAAACTTGTGCGCATATACGTCACATGACCAAAAAAGTAACTTTTAGATGGTAACAGTGAATTCAGACAAATAAAACAGGGGTACGAAAACGATGTATGAATTAAAAACTAAAGCTCTGTTTAGTAGACGCATATAATTGCACTGCTAGTAAGGAGGCCAGCTAGAACAGCCTCACAATTTAGCTAGCCAGCTAGCAAGAAGTTTTTCTTGGGGACTTAGCGAATCTTTTGTACGAACTGAAGCTAAATTGAGTCAGAGATGATTTACTACTCACGTACTGATGTAAAACGGCCTTGTCCGAGCGGTACGAACGTCTTGGTAAATGGTGAAAAGAAAGAAGCTTTTCGGGAGAAAAAAAAAAGCGTCGGAAAGAAAAGTGACTAAGTCAGTCGATATTGGAACACACCCACGTCAAGACTGAGTGAATTGTGATTGGTGGAGACGGCCGGGTTTCACGCGCTGATTGGTGGAATGTTCTGTTTCTGCACACTTTTGGCTGTTTAACAGCGGAACTCGTGGTGTAAGAGGAAGTAGAGAAAAACATTCACTTGAAAGCAGGGAGTAAAATCAACAGCAGTAGTCCGCAGGACGGTCCAGCACAAAAAAGACAAAGAGCAGTAGTGTCGGTGTTGCTGAGATTTATTTGTAGCGGACTTCTGAAGAGCTACACCGCTGGTCTTTTGATAACGAATTGGTATGAAAGATAGCACGTATTAATGAAAAACCTGTTATGTAATGGAACTGCCAGAAGAAATCCTTGCCTATATTTTCTCTTTTCTCTCGCTAAGGGACAAATATAATGCCTTCACTGTGTGTAAAACATGGTCCAACACCATGACATATCCCAGTGCATGGACGCACACGGAAGTCAGGTGAGTAAATGGATCTGTTAGAAGAGAAATGATATATTACTGTCGAGGCCCATAACATTTCGAATAGCTCAAGATCCATTACAGCTCTGCATGTTACAGCAGTGTCTTTTTTTTGGTATAATTAAGACAACCTCTAATGTCACGTAACATATGTTTGCATACTCAGTGACGTATTCAACCTGGGCACTCTAGTCCAAACCACCTCTTACTATACCATACTATATTACACATTCTATGTACTAAACTGATCAATGTACTACTACTACTACGTACTACTGTGGTGTATTACACTTGCTCACATGCACATATGTCATACACTGATGTTTAGCAGCTGTTTTAATGTGTTTATACTGTCTGCTTCAAGGAGGAAGACCCCAACAAGTGAGGAGTATTCCAACAAGATTTAAGTGAATTTGGGCATGATTTAAAGCCTGTGGACAGCAGTGAAGAATGTGTGGGAAGCAGTTATTTTGAATCATTAAAAAACCTTATGAAAGCGTGACAAAACAGTGTGAGCTCCAGTTTAAGACTACAGGATGTACAAAATGCTGACACTATAAACTGTTAGTGTGCATTTCCAATTTTGCATTCTTTGTTGTGTCAGTGATTATTACAAAAACATTTTAACAATTCTTTTTGACAGTGCGGTGTTTCAGTATTTTGTAGATCCTCTAGTCATGAACACTGCTTTGTCACGTCCCTAATGTTCTTAAAATTATTTAACTGGAACTGCTTCCCACACATTCTACACTGCTGTCAACAGTCCATCCATAGTGGCTGAATTTTTCTTCACACGTTTCCCAACATAACCCCACAAAGTCTCAAAGGGTTTGAAATCGGGCCTGAATTTCATTTAATAAATGGGGCATATTGCATTTATCTTGATCGAACATCCATCCTTTTTTGTGGTTTTCCTCCTCTAAGTGATCAAAAAAACATTGTCAAACATCAGTATATCTTAAACAAGCATGTAAGGAATTCTTTTATCTCTCAGTGTATTTTGACATACACTGTTCTGAACGCAGCCAATGCCTTTACCCAGCTTATCCTTCCTCCTCTCAGGTGTGATTCGGAAGCTAGCGTCCCTCAGAGCTTCTCTGCATTTCTGCCTTTAGTCAGACACTTGAAGCTGAGTGTCAGTGTGACTGAGGCTGCCAGTCGGAAAACTGGACTCTGGGTCCTCCGCCAGGCCTTTTCTGGAGGTGATGGACGGCTGCAAGTGTTGTGTGTGAACTGCTTAGGAAACCCACCCCTGTTCTACGCAGGACACGACCTGCTACAGGGTTTGGTGGACGTACTGACTGATGGTTCGTCCCTCATGGAGCTCGACCTGAGGGGTGTGCCCTTTACTTTGAGTGATGCATTTGTGAAGGGCGTGGCTGCACTTTGCCCCGCCCTTCGATGTCTCTTCATCAATAATAATTCCCTGGTTTGTGGCGTCGTGGCCGAGACAGTGAGGGAGGTACTGAAGCTCTGCCCAGCCCTGAACACTATAGGGCTCTTCCAGGCCAGCCTGTCTCAAGATGTCTTCCAAGACCTCCTGTCACCCCAGCGAACAGCGCTGAAGCGGCTCGAACTGCGCTGTGAGCGCTCACTGAAATATGCCACACCCATCCGTGATCAAATGTGGGCAGAGGTGAGGCGCAGGCACCCAGTGTTAGTTGTGGACCTCGAGCTGGATCATACCCTTCCGGAGCTGCATGTTCCAGCTGTGCTGCAGCCCAGCATCCCTGTTCGCCAGCTGCGCCTGCTCACCTGGACGTGGCTGCTGGATGAAGTGCGCCTGGTGGGGCAGAGTTACGCAAATACTCTGGAGGCCCTGGAAGTGCAGACCACACCCTCCCCAGAGCTTAATGATGCACTGGTCACCTTGGCAACACAGTGCACAAGGCTGCAAGAGGTGCACTGCTACTGCGTGGTGTCACCAGAGGTCATAACAGCCTTCCGCACACACTGCCCTGACCTTCGCAGATACACACTCAAAACACGCAAAGAGCAACACCCGTGGACCTACACCACACTCAGATAACACAGAAGCAGACAGTTACACACACAAAAACACCCTTAGTTGTGCCTGAATCTACCACTAATGCACAAAGGTTTACATTATGAATGTGATGCACAGTTCACTTAGTCATATGGGGTGTTACATGTGCATCACAGCAACTGCAATCTAATAAATATAAACATCAATTTAAGTTTATTTGGATAGTGCATTTTACAACAGACAGACTTAACGTTATTGTTGTCTTTTGGCACTAGACCTCTATTGAGCAAACCAAGGCCTCAGAGACAAAATCTTTAATAGCATGAGGAAGACACACTGAGAAGAACCAGGCCTTAAAATGTGAACCCACTCTCCTCAGAGCGACACGGGACAGTAATTATGATACAAGTAGTACAGGTAAGATTAAAACAGAAATGAAAATCATACAGAAGATTCATGATAATCAAAATGAGTATTTAATTTGTGAACCAGCAACATGAGATGTTCAACAAGGCATTGTAAAATCACGTAACATACTTCTCAACGTAGCACTTAACATGTCCTCAGTACTGTATAAATAACTGAAAACCTATAAATGACGGAAAAGTGAGTCACAGTCCTTTGTGCAACTGGCTGATTTGAATCTTTATTGTCCACATTTGATATGCAGCCATGTTCATTCATAGTAAGTGAAGGAGAAATCGTAGAATGCTGCATCTTTTTGGTCAGTGCTGCTGTGATTGATGTGTTTGACGAACCTGAGAGTTTCTTTGTCTCTGTAGACTAGAGCCAGGGAGTTATCCTCTGGATACACAGTCAGGAGCTGACAACAAACAATGCAGACATATGGGAGAAATTACTAGTAGGCTTACACCAAATGTTTGATTGTTATGTGCTGATGAAATAAAATGATTGTGGTGTGTTAAAATTTTTGTCTACCAAACAGCATTCACAACAGCACTCTTTTCCATGACTCTAATCTGTGACTGTAACAGCACTTTGAGAAATATTAATATTAAGTAATAAATCAATGTTGAGAAAGCAACATTACTGTGCGATACAAACACTGACCTCTTCATCTTCATCATGTGCAATATAGGAAGTGAAGCCTCCAAACTCTGCCTTCCAACCTGAAAGACAACACAAAACAAAATAACGACAGAAAAAAAGAGTAGCATGGATCCTTCTGTACTAAATAATTTTAGACCAATTTCAAACCTACCTTTTCTAAGTAAAGTCTTAGAAAAAGTTGTTTTCAAACAACTAAATGCGTATCTAATATCAGTTTATAGGAAAAGTTTCAGTCAGGTTTTCGTTCTAACCACAGTACTGAGACAGCATTGATTTGCGTTATGAATGACCTCAGGCTCAGCGCTGATGCACAAAATCCTTCTATTTTGGTATTTTATTAGATCTTAGTGCAGCTTTTGATACTGTTGACCACAAGATTTTAATCTAGCGTCTCGAATGCTGGGTCCGCCTCTCGGGCACAGTTTTAGAATGGTTTAAATCATATTTAAGTAATAGACAGTTCATGGTTTTACTTGGAAATCATTCATCAAAAAGATTTGCCATTTCTTGTGGAGTCCTTCAAGGTTCAGTCTTAGGGCCTTTGCTTTTCTCTTTGTACATGCTACGTCTAGGTGATGTCATTAGGAAGCATAGTATAAATTTTCATAGCTATGCTGACGACACCCAGCTATACATTTCTATTCCTTCTGAAGATCAAGACTCTGTAGATAGACTAACTAGCTGTGTGTCAGATATTTCTCAGTGGATGTCGCAAAATTTTCTACAATTAAATCATGAAAAAACTGAAATACTGATCGTTGGTTCAGAATCTCAGAGAAAAATTATTCATGAGAAACTTGGTTCTTTAGCTTCATATACCAAACCTGAAGTACAAAACGTGGGTGTGATCTTAGACTCTGAGCCCTGTTTTATCCCGCATGTAAACACAGTCACTAAAGTAGCTTTTTATCATTTGAGAAATATCGCTAAAGTTCGGCCTTTTCGCTCTCTGAGCGACAAAGAGAAACTTGTTCATTAATTTCTTACAAGCAGATTTGACCACTGTAATGCTTTTCTTACTGGACTTCCTAAGAAAACTACACATCCCTTACTCGTACTCGTACAAAATCCTCCTAACAAAAACAAAAAAGAGAGATCATAACACACCTGTTTTAAAAGAACTGCACTGGCTACCTGTACCGTTCAGGATAGATTTTAAAGTTCTGCTACTAGTTTTTAAAGCTCAAAATGACCTAGCACCTGCTTACATCACAGAGTGTCTGTCTGTTTATGTTCCAGCACGTAATCTAAGATCTGCAGATAGTGGCCTTCTACAAATATCCTCTGTAAAGTACAGGAAACATGGAGAGGCCTCTTTCAGTTATTCTGCTTCTAAACTGTGGAAATCAATTCCACCTTTTATTAGACAGTCAAGCTCACTTTTAGGAAACATCTAAAAAATCTCTAAATCTCTTTAACTTAGCATTTAATTAAAACTCTGCGTCTTGTGGTATTTCTCTTCAAATGTGATCTTTTTCATTTTCTTCTGATTCTAAATAAATACTAATGATTTCTTGTATTACTATGTTTTATCACCTGTCTGTAAAGCACTTTGAGCTGGCACTGGCATGAAAAGTGCTATATAAATAAAAAATATTATTAAAAAATTATTATTAAAACATTCACTTTAAAAGTGCTCTCTATTTTCAGGTGCCACAATGTTAATGTTGGTTTCCTACCTTGGAAGGCCACAGCACTGCACTATAGAGCTGCACAATGTATTGTTTGTTAATCAACTTTGCAATACTGATATTGCCCTTTAATCTATCGCATATTTGTGAGCTATAAGCATTCAGATGATTGTTTCCATGGGTGTTTTCGTGATTCTGCATAAAAAGTGATGGAACACATAAATTAGTTAATTAGTAACACGCACCAATCTTCAACTCTGTTGCATTATTGATTCACCTTTGATCTGTAATATATTGCAAGGTGCATCAAATTCACAACATGCAGTAATGTAATCACAGTGCTAGTATTTTGCCCTAGTGCAGTTTAGTGTTTTAGCTGTTTTAACAATGTATGATTTAACTCAGTCGTTCAAGAGTTGAGTTTTTCAGGACTTGAGATTGACAATCCTGAACTGATTAACAATGACAAGAATCAGTCTGAATGTAAAGATATCTCAGCATGGCCTCACGCCCTTCTTCAGTAAGTTGGGAGGGGGCCAGCTGTTATTATGTCCCAGCATTATGTCTCAGAGACAATGCAACAGTAAGGCTGACAACCAACTAGTCTACTTCACTGAGGCTAAGCAGTTAGAAAAGTACCCCCCATTACCATAACCATAGAAGAAAACATTTTAACAACACATGATTGCTTATCTCACATTTAACAGCCTAGTTACTCCAAAAACAGATACCATGGTGGGAATTGGCTAAGTAACCTTAAGTCTACCTTTTACAGCACTGTAGCAAGTAGGTGAAGGTTTTCTTTCCCCCACAGTATTGAAGTTCTTCCTTACCACTATAACCCCACTTACACTTGGTCACTTCATGCATCTGGAGTATCAGGATTATATCTGGATAAGGCCAGTCCACATAAAAATGCAAGTGTAAATGCAGATACAAAAACAGTTACAAATCGGATTACTGAAACCACTTCAGGAGGTGATCTGAGATGCAGTTGGGCCATGTTATAGCAGTGTAAACGCATCCGTCAACAACCAAAACTCTGGGCACATGATCCATGTCTTCAAGAAGTATACTCATGGAGGACACAGATGGCTCCCACAAGTTTGAAGAAATGCACAACGGCATGCAAAATTGGGAATTTTGAGGCAGCAACCATCTTTAACAGCAAAAGAAGAGGCTAAACAAAAACAACTGGTTGGTTGATGCGTAATGAGCGGATTTGCATATTCCATCCCACACAGCAATCGGATTTCAGTCCCGACTACCCAGAGGCGCATTTGACAACAAAGTATGTGTAATGCATGTGACTGAAATATTATCAGGATACAATCCAGATACTAGTCACATAAAGTGACCAATTGTAAACAGGGTCTATGAGTTTCACTGCTTATCTAGCTTGCTAACTAGCTAAGCAGTAGCCTACGCTAAAAATGGTAGGAGCTAAGCTCCTGCAAACTACAGTATGAAACAGTCTAGCAAAGGTATGGTGTGTTTACTTGTTGGTGCCGAAAAACAAGCACTGTTTCATGTTTTTTTGTAGAACTGGTGTGAAACTGATGGTACACAACCATGTAGACGTTACCAAGGTGATTTCAGCTATCAAAAAGTGGTGATGATCAAATTAGACCCTTAGCAGTCACTTATATATTTAAAGGGTAATTTCTTTTTTCAAAACGTTGGTGTAATTACACTGTTAAGATATAAATAAAGTCAATAAGAGTGGGTTTAATGTGAAATGCTCCATTTCAGAGAAACCTATCAGGTAAGAATAGTTCACAGTGGTGGTGACGGGAACCTGACATCTGAAGTTATTAATTAATTAATGCGTCTAAAACTACATCACAGAAAGCTGTTACATGAAATGGTTACAAATACACTGCTTGATGCCGGAAACACTGTTTTACTATAGATTTACGGTAAGATTTTGGCTCAACTCAGAAGACATTTGTAGGTTCATTGGCTGTTTTGGTCAAGTTTCTCTAGTCTCTTTCACCTTTTCACATTACTCAGAATGACCTTGTTGACATCTCAACAATTGTATTATGCAGAAATTTTGAAATATAGGTGGAAAAAAGGCAGTAAGATACAAGACCTTGGTGCCTTTTTTATCCTGTATTATAAGAGCAGAAGTCAAATTGCATTTTGTAGCCCTTTCATCGGCATCGAAAAAGCCTATGAATTTTTTTTGTATATTTTATATATTTATATACAGTCAGGAATCAGGGGAGTGAATGAGTGTCACCTTTGCAGCCCAGGTGAAGCAGCAGGTCCAGTGCAAACTCCCTCTCCACAGAATCATGCAGTAGCGTGTAATCACCATGCGCCCAGCGACAAAGCTCACCAACACACATCGGAGGGCCTGA